CTATTATAATAGATAGAAAGCAACTTTGAGATTGTTTAATGGACACCAGAATGATGATGTAAGAGCTAAAAAGATGAGAACTCTAAGATGAATAGATGTAGCATTATAAAATCTCAATAACACAATATTAAAGGGTAAATTAATAATAATATTGAATGAATATGAAGGATACAGTTATCATATGTTGTCTTGAGCCTTATCCATTGAAATGTAAAACTAAAATTCTGATTTAAAATGAAATGGCAAATTTTAAAGGGGATTTTTTTTCTAATCAGAATGACTTAGGTATATTCCTAAGAGGAACCTCTCTGAGACTCTCCAACTAAAAGATTTTCTTTTGACATAAATGGAGAAGAACCCCTGGTTCTAAGAAATGACAATTTATACTAATCATTTAGGATGCATATAAATCTGGCATGTACTTTCCACAACAGTATTCTAATTCTCCTGTAGGTTTTCTTTTTGAGAGACTGACATTTATGCTCTTTCCTGTTCAAGGTTAAAGCTGGACTTGGTGTTAATATTATTGGTGTTGCCGTGGTGATGCTTGGCATGTCCGCCTGGATTGTACCCCTACTTGACCTCAACAGTTACCCTTCTTGGGCTCCTGCAATTGCAAATGAAACTATACCATGATAAGCACAAAAGTTCTGACTATCTCATGGTGACTTTTGGGAAACATTAATAATTCACTGTAAAATGTGGCTCTAAATAACTGATGACACATTTAAATCAGTTATGGTGTAGCTGCTGTAATCCCAGTGAACATCCAAAACCTGCTGTGATTAACCTGGAGTCCATATTTCTTTTGAGATGCAACCAAAGAACATCTAAGCACCTTTGTCAAGAAGCCAATGGTTGAGATTTTGCTCATGGACCATCTGTATGTTGTTTCATCATAAGAATAATTTATAACTTGACCTTCATGGAGATTAGGCCATTTGCTTCATCTTACAGTTGGAGTTCAGAATAACATTTCAAACATCACTTTATTATTTCAAAAACTTTCTATCAAACTAAAAACAGAAAGTGAAACATACAAGTTAATTAGGTACTTGTATAAATCATTTCTGTAGTGTTGTGCAAAAGAATTTGCAAAGAAACCAAAACCATGATCATCTGGTGATGCAGAGAAAAGTTTAATCTAAATGAAATGTGAGTTTCCTCATTTTAAAAAAATCCAGTTGGATTATTCTTAATATATACATATAGTATAAAAATTTAAATGTAAGTAGTAATTCCAAAATTATAGCTGCATCTACTAAATAACAGAAAACTCATAGATAAGGATTAATTTCTACTTGACCCTACAGTTATATTAATATAATTCATATGTTTATGATCTCAGTGCACTGAGAAATACATTTTGTAGAGATATGGATAAGGCTTGCTATGATTTGCACTATAGAAAAGAAAGTTAAACACTATGAAACTATTAATACATTTATGTATATTATAACAACTTGCTTGTGTTTATCTTATTTCAAAAATACATAATCTCTTATGTTTCAAAAAGAGACATAGAAATTTAAATGAATTATCACTGCATATACAAATATAGAAAAGTCACGTAACTCCATTATGTCCAACTCCAATATTGAAATAAAATATCAGAAGTAAAAGACAGAATAATGGCCAAAAAACCTATGAAAAAATGCTCAACATCTCTAATCATCAGGGAAATGGAAATCAAAACCACAATGAGATATCACTTATCTCCAGTGAGA